CCTATTGGATTCTGGTCACAACTATAGAAAGGAGCTGAGGTCTGGTACACCTTGATAGAGAAGCAACTGGCTGCTATGTACCATGCCTTGCAGGATGTGGAGCCCATCACTGGAACAGCTCCAACCAAGGTAATAACCACCTATCCCATTGCAGGGTGGGTGTGAGACTGGACCCAAGGCCATGGAGTGGTGTGGCACAGATGCCTACACTGGCCAAATGGGGTGCATACTTACAGCAGCATAGAGTCCTCTCCAATAGCCCCTTAAGTGGAGAACTCCAACACTTATTAGGTCCAGTGATGTATACCAGTGGAAAGTGGGAAGAACTTGCTTTTGAGCCATTGGTAGCCAAGAGTCCTTAACAGGAGGGAAAAGCCCCTACACCTGAAGATGCTTGGTATACAGATGGCTCCAGTCATGGGCAGCCCCCAAAGTGGAGGGCTGTAGCTTTCCATCCTAAGACTGAGACAATATAGATGGAGGATGGAGAGGGGAAGTGCAGTCAATGGGCTGAGTTGTGGGCAGTATGGCTCATGATCACCCAGGAGTCCTCCATTATAGTTGTCTGCACTGACAGCTGGGCCGTCTATTGGCGCTTGACCCTGTGTCTATCAACATGGTACCATGCCAACTGGATGGTTGGTCACTGGACCCTTTGTGGGAAAGAGCTGTGGCAAGACCTATGGGCCTCTGGTCAGACTAAGACTGTTATTGTATATCATGTGACTGGACATTTGCCTTTGGCATCCCCAGGGAATGATGAAGCAGACACATTGGCCCAGGTGCATTGCCTATAAGAAAAGCTGCCTCTGATGTGGCCCAATGGTCACATCAGTGATTGCTGCACATGGGGCAAAAGACAATGTGGGCTGTAGCCAGTCCATGGGGCTTGCTGTTGTCCTTTGAAGAAGTCAGCAGAGCCCACAAGGAGTGCCTTGTATGCTCTAAGAGGGACTTACACTGAGTCCCGCAGCAACATGGGATAATTATAAAGGGGCCAATACCCCTTGTCAGGTGGCAGATAGACTATATAGGGCCTCTACCCATATCAGAAGGATATCGGTATGCCATGACTTGTGTGGAAACAGCTACTGGACTGTTAGTTGCTTTTCCTGTACGACGTGCAGATCAGCAAACCATCAAACAGGCCTACAGCGTCTCTTTGCAGCCTGTGCCAACTGTAGGTGATTGAGAGCGATCAAGGCACCCACCTTACTGGATGTGCATTACAAGAATGTGCGCAACAATTAGGAATAGAGTGGAAGTTTCATTTATCATATAACCTACTGGGGTAGGTATGACAGAAAGGTACAATGGCTAGTTGAATTCTGGCCTGAAGTCAGCCACTAACAGTCTATGGGGCTGGCCTGTTTGCTTATGGACAGTGCTATGGCATTTGAATTAGAAGCCCTGAAAAGGATCCTTGATCCCTGTGGACATGCTAAGACACATTGCTGCCTTTCCTATACAACTTATGTGTAAACCAAAGAGGAGTTATTGAAATCAGGATATGGCCATCAGAGCAACATCCTGCTGTCACTCCCAAGTGCATTAAACCCTGGAGACTCTGTTGAGTGGGTGTGGCCCTGGACATTTCAACACATGCACCAGTGATGGCTGGCCTTTCTGGCACCTTGGGGTAAAGGCCAGGAAGCTGGCCTACTGTGTGTTCCTGGAGTAACAGCAGAGTAACAGTGTTAAGGCCCCCAAATATCATAGTAGTGTACCCAAAACGTCCGGAAGGTAAGAGCATCTTACAGGGAAGTTTTGTTTTATCTTTACGGCCAGTGCATGTACCTCCTGTAGCCCTATATACTGACCCATCTGTAACTCCCACAGGGAAGTGGGTGAAAGTCTGGTATACTAGACCATGATGAGATCCCGTTTCTGCCATGGTCCAATCACAGGACCACTCTCTTGCATGCCTGGACAAGATTTGCCTGTGCTGGTCTTATCAAAACATAATATCTTATTACCCTTAAGGTAATTTTCTTCTATAGTCCCTATGGCCTGGATCTATTCCCTGGCTGCAGCTGCCACATGATGATTTCTCTGAACTTCCTACCTGTTCAACTACTGACTGCCTATGGAATGGGTGAGGTATGGACTTAATATGCATAGGAATTTGAACCTACGTGAATCCTTTGGCTTTAAGATTATCATGATTTTATTGTTATTGCTACTGTATATTATTAGTCTGGTTACAATGCTCCAGTTTTCTTGTCCAGGAGCCATTGCAGAAGATGGGGAAGAAGTAGATTGTGAGGCAAGATTTCTGGAAGGGTGGGCTGTGGATAAAATTGCAATATTTCCAGAATATCTTGCCTGGCCTTAGTGCATCTCCATATCAATAGGTGTTTCCAAGGGGTGGAGATCAATAGGTACAAGGGAGAGCAAGGGCATATCTCAATTGGAGAGTTGGGTGGGGCCCCTTTTTGCAGCCAGGTCATGAGAGACATGAGTGAGCAGAAGTGGACAACTGCTTGTAGGCAATAAATGCATTTCTCCCACTTTATTTTTCCCTTTGACTGATTTTGGTTTCAAAGGTAATTTGCCCTGGCTGGGAAAATATTTTGCTCCCAGAGTTACAGTATTATATGAGAGAAAATAAACCCCTATCACATTTAAGCTACTATTTTGAGCAGTGTTACTACCTATTTTTCCTTACAGGTATATTTCTTACTGACACAGAAATGGCTTCTTTCCTGTTAAAAAATCGTAGTATCTTCTGTCATTACAGTTATTACAATATTATTGACTATATTCCATATGCTGTACTTTTCATCCCCATGACTTATTTATATTGTAACTGGAAGTTTGTATCTCTTGATCCCCTTCACTTATTTTGCCTATTTTCCCACCCCTCTGGCAAATACAATTTTCTGCATTGTATTTATGAGTCTTTTTCTGTTTTTTGTTTGTTCATTTGTTCTTTTTTTAAATTCCACATGTAAATGAAATCATGTGGTATTTGTCCTTCTCTTTCTGACTTATTTCATTTAGGACAATACCCTACAGGTACATCCATGTTATCACAAGTGCCAAGATTTCATTCTTTTTTATGGCTATGTAATATTCCACTGTTTATATATACTACATGTTCCTCCTTCATCTTAGGTTGCTTCCATATTTTCATATGTCTTTTCAAATTAGTGTTTTGTTTTCTTCAGGTAAATGCTCAGAAGTGGAATTACTGGCATATGATATTTAATTTTCTGAGAAACCTTCATCCTGTTTTCCATATTGGTTGCACTAGTTTACATTCCCAGCAAGAGTACATAAGGATTCTCTTTTTCCTACATCTTCACTGATACTTGTTATAACTTGTCTTTTGATACTAACCATTCTGACTGGGAGGTAATATCTCACTGTGGTTTTGATTTGCATTTTTCTGATGATTTAGTGATGTGGAACATCTCTTCATGTGTTTATTGGCTATCTGTATGTCTTCTTTGGAAAAATGTCTATTCAGTTTCTCTCACCATTTTTTGATCAGATTATTCTTTTGATATTGAGTTGTATGAGTTCTTTATATATTTTGGATATTAATCCTTTATTGTATACACCATTTCCAAATATCTTTGCCTATTCAGTAGGTTGTCTTTCGATTTTGTTGATGTTTTCTTTCTTTCACTGTACAGAATCTTTTTAGTTTGATGTAGTCCCATTTGTTTATTTTTACTTTTGTTTCCCATGCCTGGGGAGACATCTCTAGAAAAAAAACTGCTAAGGCCAATATCCAAGAGTTAACTGCCTATGTTTTCCTTTAGTAGTTTTATGTTGCAGGTCTTACATTTAAGTCTTTAATCCACTTTGAGTTTATTTCTGTGTATGGTATAAGAAAGTGGTCCAGTTTCATTCTTTTGCATTTAGCTATTTACTTTTCCCAACACCATTTAATGAAGAAAGTGATTTTTCCCATTATATATTCTTGCTTTCTTATTGATTAATTGACCATGTAAGTGTTGGTTTCTTCTGGGCTATCTATTCTGTTCCATTGACATATGTGTCTGTTTTTGTGCCAGTACTTTACTGTTTTGTTTACTGTAGCTTCGTAGTGTAGTTTGAAATCAGGGTATGTGACACCTCCAACTTAGTTCTTTCTGAAGATTACTTGGGATTTAAAAAGTTTTCTGGTTTTTTGTAAAATCCTCATTCTTCAAGATTCATATTAAACCATTCCTCCAAGGATTATGTGCTTGATGTCTCTGTGTAGGTTTAGTGTTCTTTCCTATGTGCTTTCACATTCTGCTACCATAGCAATTATCATTATATTTATTGACATTAATTGTTTATATTACTCTCATTCCAAAATAAGCTGTGAGATCTTTAATGGGATCTAAGAGAAATCTAATTACTCTGTGTCTCAGCTTAGCCCAGGACTAAGTACAACATGGTATAACATATGTTCGCTGAATACATAAAGGTTCTGCCTGTCCTTTTTTCTTTTTGAAGCTTTGAAATTTTGTAGTTAATTCCTGTTAATATTTATAGTATGAAAAATATAGATGTGATACCAAAAAATCACCCCTAATCATATTTAAATTCTTAATTGGTTCCAGTTCTTAGATTGTTGGATTAGATCACTTTCTAGACTTTCTTTTTATTTTGCTACACTCTTAAATATGAATGTGGAACAAAATGTAAATAAAATGCCAGAATGAACTGACACTAATTTACTCAACCTAAATGTTAAATTATCTTTTTTTAAGGTACTTACTAAATCAATTTAAAAAGGACAAAGCATTGTAAGCTAGAATGAAGTAGAATCAAACTTGTGAGCTTTCAAATTTTACTGATAGAGCCAACAGAATATTCTCCAAATTAAACCTAAATCAAATTGCAATTTTTCATTTGGTTAAAGTTCTGCTATTCCAAAGGCATATTGGCATTTTTAGTTTGAATTTCCACTTTGTTTTTTATCATTTTATTATCTACCCAAGTCAAATGTGATTGTAACTTTCATTTTTATTCTCTTATTTTTCTAGAAATTAAGGTACCTGCTCTCTTCCGCTGTGAAAGAGGAATATGGGCACGCTGGAATTTTTCAGTAACCTCTAGAAACTCGCGTTTCCTTTGTTGAAGTATTTGTTCTCTGATTTGGTGTTCTCTTTCTTCTTGTTCTTTTCGTTTCTCTTCGAAAACTCTATGTTTAAATTAAATAAAGTAGATAACAGAATTAGGCAATGTTTTTAAAATCACAACACAAAAAAGTTTCAAAACAATGCATTCATTACATAATAGTACATTCATATTTCAAAATTTTATTTACTTAGAAATAACAAATTTTAAATAAAGAGAGGTCCTTGGTTAAGAATATTAAGAATAACATAAGAATTTAGTATGTCTGTAAATGATAATTATCCAGGTCTTTTGTAAGTAAGAGAAGGCTCTGTAATGAGGCTTTTTAATTTCTGGCAGGCCTGTACACACATTCCTACCTCCCTAGACCTGCTTTGGAAATATTCTTTCCTATAAAGCTACTCTATTTTATGTAATGTGAAGAGCTAATTAATTGGTGAAAGAAGCAGCTCTGCAAATTATGGGGCAGTCAGGAAAATACCGCATATCTCTCTTTTTTTCAAGACCAAAATTTAAATTTGGTTGTCATGTTATGTTTAAACTGTGCTAAAAATCCACACAATTTATATAAAAATCTTGATTTCCAACTTCTCTGTAAAATGTGGAAGATTTGGCAATCTTATACTCCTATTCACACATGGCTACAAACACCTGCCTGTAATTCTTATCACAGTTTATGTTCTTCAGCTTAAACTATAATTTAAACTGCTTCAAAGAATTAATGTTGACAGTGGAAAATGTGTATGTGTGTGTGTGTGCTTGTGCATGTGTTTCAGTAATTGTCTGCTGGATGAGAAAAATGAAAATTCAAGCCTGCAATTCACTGGTAGAGTGAACTGTTTGGAATGTATGCGGGTGATTGGTAAGAACTCTTTAAAATGTTTAGTGTCATAGGTTTCTGTTAACCAGCCTTCTAACAACCTCCACTGGCTAGAGCATTATTTGAGTCTAAACAACTCATATTTAGGGACCTATACTTCTGGAAAGTAAGAATATAGATCTTTAAGTTACCTAAACCCTGTAGTAGGTAGGATAAAGTGGTACAATGCCACAGGTAGGAGAGATGAGTTGTACCTCCCCAAACAATTTCCTTCAAGAATCTCCCCAAGCCAAGACAAGGGAGTCTGCTTTCACTCTTTGATTCAATGTAGTGCTGGAAGTCCAAGTCAGAGCAATTAGACAAGAACAAGAAATAAAAGGCATCAAAATAGGGAAGAAAAAGTAAAATTATCTCTATTCACAGATGATTATTTGTTCATAGAAAGGCCTAAAGAATCCACAGAACACTGTGAGAAATAATAAATTCAGCAAAGTTGCAGGATACAAAATCAACACATACAAATCAGAGGTCTTTTCTATATATTAACAATAAGCAATCTGGAAAAGAAATTAAGAAAACAAACCCATCTACAATAGGAATAAACAGCCAAGGAGGTAAAAAAACTATAAAACCCTGTTGAAAGAAATTTAAAAAGTCACAGATAATTGGAAAGACATCCATGTTCATGAACTGGAAGACTAACATTGTAAAGATGTCAGTATTCCCCAAAGTGACAATCTTTATCAAAATCTGATTGATGTTTTTTTGCAGGAATAGAAAAACCCACTGTAAAATTCATATGAAATCTCAAGCGACCCCAAATAGCCAAAACATTCTTGAAAGAAGACAAAAGTGGAGGTCTTATACTTCCTGATTTTAAAACTTACTATAAATCTATGGTAATCAAAGAAGTGTATTACTAGCATACAGATATGGAGACCAATGGAGTAGATTAGAGAGCCTAGGAGTAAAGCCTTGCATGGTCACATGATTATCCACAAGCGTGCTAAAACTAGTCAGTGAGGAAAGAACAGTCTTTTCACAGCAAATGATAGTGAGAAAACTGGATATCCATATGCAAAAGAATATGGATACTCTTATCTTACAGCACATATAAAAATTAACTTGAAATGGATCAAAGACCTAAATTTACGAGCTAAAACTATAAAACTCTTAGAAGAAAACATGGGAAAAACTTCACTGGATTTGGCAATTATTTCATCTAGCAATGATTTCATGGATATGACAAAAGCATAGGCAACAAAAGAAAAAATAAATTGGACTTCATTAAAAGAGCTTTTATTCATCAAAGAACACTACCGACAATTAAGAGGCATTTCAGGGAATGGGAGAAGATATTTGCAAATCATATATCTGATAAGTGACTTATATCAAGAATATATAAAGAACTCCTACAATTCAACAACAGAAATAATTGGTTTAAAAAATGGGCAAAGGACTTGAATAGATAATTCTTCAAAGAAGATATACAAATACCAACAAGCACATGAAAAGATGCTCAACATTATTAACCAGTAGGAAAATGAAAATCAAAACCACAATGAGATACCACTTTATACCCATTAAATGGCTATTAGAACAACAACAACAAAACCCCCAGAATATTACAACTGTTGGTGTGGATGTAGAGAGATTAGAATTCTTATATGCTGCTCATGGGAATGTAAAATGAGCAGTTCGGTAGGAAACGGTATGATGCTTCCTCAAAAAATTACTTAGAATTACCATATAATCTGGTAATTCTGCTTCTGGAAATATACTGAAAAGAAGTGAAAGCACGGGCTCAAACAAATGTTTGAATTATATTCATGTTCATAGCAGCCTTATTCACAATGGCTGAAAGATGGAATCAACTCAAGTGTTCAATGACCAGACAAATGGATAAACCAAATGTGGCATACACATATGAGAGAATATTAATTTAGCCTTAAAAAGGAAGAAAGTTCTAACCATGCAACCCTTGGATGAACCTCAAATACATTCTGCTAACTAAAATAAGCCAATCCCGGGGGACTTGGGGTAGGGGAGAGCCTAGTAAACATAATGTTCTTCATGTAATTGTAGATTAATGATAACAAAATAAAAAAAAATAAGCCAATCCCAAAAGGACAAATATTTTATGATTCTAATTAAATGAGGTACCTAGAGGAGCCAATTCATGGAGACATAAACTACAATGGTGGTTGCCAGGGGCTGGAGTAAGGGAGGGTATGGGGAGTTAGTATTAAAGAGGCACAGAGTTTAAGTTGGGGAAGATGAAAACATTCTGGAAATGGATGATGGTGATGGTTATACAACAGACCAAATGTACTTGACACCACACTGTATACACACTTAAAAATGGTTAAAATGATAAATTTGGTGTTATGTATATTTTACCACAATACAAAATTAGAATCCCTCCAGGTCTTTGACATTGACAGTGTTTCTTCAACACAAGCGCAGCTTTAAGCTCCTTTGTCCAACCAGATTGAACCTGTTAGCCCTTCTCTTCTGAATATCATTTATCAGCACTGTCCACTAGAAATAAAATATAAGCTGTACATGTAATTTTCTAGCAGCCACATTAATTTCAATATTTTACTTAACTCATATATAATAGTTCTAAACATATATCAATATAAAAATTATTAGGATAATTTTATATCCTTTTTGTACTAAGTGTATTTTTACATCTCAATTTGGACTAGTCACATTGTAAATGCTATATTAATAGACTAGAATGCCTGCTGGTAGGAGTTGTGGTTTTCTGAAGGAGGAAGGGCTTTTATAGACAGGCAGAGACTTGAGAACAAGGAAGTCAGGTTAACAACTAAAAAGCTCTTGAAAGGGATTCATTTAATTTCAAAATAGTTTTCACTTAGACCATAAGAAAACACATTGTTGTCATTTAATTTATAAAAATTTTCTCTTTTTAAATAGTTTCCTTTATTACTCTAATCCTGTAGTTTCAATGTGGAATATATCTCCTTCCCCAGGATGGCTTGGGAATTTGTGGAGGAATTTTGATTGTCACAATAACTGGGGTGGGTTAACCAGATTTTAGTTCCCTAGGACCAGGGAATGCAAAATGTCATACAGTGCATAGGATGATTCCACACAAAAAAAGAATTATTCTGCTTCAAATACTGAAGGCTAACCCCCTAGGAAATATTTCAATAAAGTGTGATATCCTGCTGTAGCCTTCTATGGTGAAGTCCTGGAGAATGGGGGGCCTGCTAGACATTTACACTTCTGTTGCCACATATACAGACAGGACAGAATTCAATCAAGAGGACTAGGTTAAAAAGTTCTTGGTAATAACCAGCCAGCAGCAGGCTGCCCCAAAACTGGGGGTGGCTAGGGTCAGTTGATATGGGGAAATAACATTAGGTGAACAATTAGGGTGGGAGGTAAGATAAACACCTACTTCCCTATTCCCACCCTCAATTTCCACTAGGTTACAGAAAGGTAGTGAAAACCTTAAAGGAAGGTTGAAGGCTGAGGTTCAAGTTGCATGTGAATCTTAAGGCACTTATATTGGACAAGAATATAAAGAGAAAACTAGGAGTTGAGAAAATAAAAATAAATTACGTGGCAGACCAGTTAGTTTTTGTAATGCATCCTTTGAAGAAAGATAAAGAAAAGAGAGGCAATCAAATGTTGGCATTAATATTCTACTTACTGCTAAGAGAAGGGAGCAGAGACTTGCTTGGAAGTAGCTGATAGAGTCAACTCATAATTCATATGCTCTTAATTGAAGTTTGATGGCAGTATCAAGGACACTAAAATGAGTGCACTCTCATGGCAGCTGGTCTCCAAAGACACTCTCCAATGAACAGTGATAATGTCATCCTCTCTGCTTTAATCAATCTGGCCCTGTGATTCTTATGGCCAATAGAATGTAATAGAAATGATGCTTTGTAACTTCCCAGGCTAGATTAGAAATTTTGCAGCTTCCAATTTGTTCCTTTGGAATGCATGCTCTAGGAAAAGTCAGACTTATGTAAGAAGTTCAATGACCTTGAGATCACCATGCTGAAAAGTCCAAGCTAGCTAACGGGAGAGAGGGCATGGAGACAAATGCCTGGCTAGCCTCCAGCAGTTCTTGCTATCCCAGCTCAAGCACAAAATGTGACAAGAAGCCATCTTGGATATCCAGCTGGGTAGAACCTTCAGATAATGCCACCACAGCTGAAATCTGAGTGCAATAGCCTAAGACTTCCAAGAGACAATCAACCACC